GTTATAATTTAAATAGCCCCTAAAATAGTGGTAGAGCTATTCTCCAAATCGCTGTTGAGTTTTATATTGAATATAATATATGCATATTATTGAGAAAACTGCAGTATACTTTGTATCTGAGAATATATATATGTGTCTATCTATGCATACATACATAGCTATACAAATATGTGCCCATACAGATGAATTAATGCTCAAACACGTTTCAAATAATCAAGAAGCCTATAGAAAACAGATGAGTCTATCCGCATTCGGATCAGTTTTCTGAAACCTGAATATGCACCAGAAACACCTGTAGGGCTTGTTGGAACAGTTTTCTTGGTCCCAACCCTAGCATTTCTGATTCAGTAGGTCTTAGGGATGGGTACTGAGATTTTACATCCCTAAACATTTCCCTCTTATATGTGCCAATGCTTTTGTTTCAGGGATCATACTTTGAGAACAACTGCTCTAGGTAAGTTTCTCTATTTTACAGGAAACAAACAAACAAAAACAATTAAGCCCCTCTTCTAAATCTGCATTTCTACCAGCAGGAATATTGTGTGGAGGTTTACTCTCCATGTTTTGCGCTATATTGTTTGTTTCCAAAATATTAAATAATATTTCAAATTGAAATTACATACCTCCCTGAGTTCTGCATATTACATACCAATAAACAAGATGCTACATCCACTAAAAATCACCAGTTCAAATTTTCAAATACAAAACAATTCCTGCTATTAAACAGCCATATCTCTTAATTTAAAATAATTCAATTCTACTTGTAAACTGTTATTTATTACCATGAGTGATGAAAATGAGTATGTTTCTGATAATATTTTAAAGGTTTTTGAACAGCTTAAACTTTTAAAGACCCAATCATATTCAAAGATTAAGACAAAAGAAAAATAACCTACATTCCATTATTTCTTCTTATATTGGTTAGCCTTTCTTTAAAACTATTATATTACAAAAGTATCCATGTTACCATTTTTATATTTCCCAGCTGTACTGAGATAGCTTTATATATAAAAGGTGAATC